GGTCAAATAAAGTTATTTCAGGTGTTGAAAATGAAGGGGAAGGTCAGAGGTTAAAAAGCGCAAAAGACCGCAGGTGAGCAGGGGAGATGTTACTGTGGCCCCTGTGCTTTTAAATCTCATTGAAGTAAAACAAAGTGTATGTAGAAATATGGTGCAATCAAATCAAAGTACATGCAAAGAATCACAAATGAAATGAAAACTAAAACAGATGCTATGTCTGTGTTTGTCGTTTAGCTTTGGCAGGAAAACCGACCGGACTACTTTAATCTGAAACTGTACGTCAGTCAGACAGACAACCTGCAGGTAGGTGTGACAAACACACACACTCTTCGTTCATCTTATCATTGCAATTACTTTTCACTCATTCATCTTTCATTGATATATTGTACCAGTCAAAGCTCAACCACTAGAGGGCGGTATATGACAGAGAGAGAAGCTACAGGGCATTCAAGTCGTGTATGTTGGTGTAAGTCTGTGTATTGTGTCTATTATCTTTCTGAACTACACGATATTTATTACGTCAGATTGTATCGGCACTTATTTTTGGGAAATTCACATTCTGTTGTTTTTATCAATTGTTTGGGCATATTTCTGATCATACTGTAAATAGCTGCTAATAATTCCTGTAGTGTTAAATAGTTTATGTTGATGGGATCCAGCAAAACTATTGATAATCAGGAAACATGTCAGATATGGATGTATCAAATAGGAAAACAAAACCAGGATTTTCACTTGGAATGTTTAATGTTCTATACTGAATTGCAATTAGGCGTCATGTGACACCTATACAAAAACTCCTCGTTAGTATAGTGGTCAGTATCCCCGCCTGTCACGCGGGAGACCGGGGTTCAATTCCCCGACGGGGAGAGTTACACCTTTTTCAATCACGTTACACCCTCTATGGTTACACCCTGACCAAGATAACAGGAAGCCGTAACACCTGCCTGTGATGAATCAGAGCCTGTCAGAGGTAGCAGAGGCACCGTCGGTGAACTATGACAAACACTCAATGTAGTATTTTTGTTCATGCACAAAACATGCATGAACGAATTATCTTACTCTGTGCAGATATCCAGTTTCGTTGTTCTTAGTTATAAGACAAGCTTTGGTAAAGGCAGCAAATCAGATAACACTCTTTTGTGCTGCCTCACCCATCTACTGAAAGATCCTGATCCGTATCAGAGTTTAACAGCTAACCACAAAAAGGAAGTGACATGTCACCCAACTTTTCACGCACACCTGTGTACTATGGGAATGGTTTGAGATATACTGAGGTTTTTGGCTTGTCAGTCTCTAACCCCAGATTGATCCAGCATTCCAAAAAGTTAGTTCTGCACTTTATTTGATTTCTGTTGAATCGCCTCTTTACATTGCAGATGGATGATATAATCTTTAAAATGTTTTATCTATGATTGCAAAGTAAAACAACACTGTCAAGACCTTCTAAAAAGACATAAATACATAAAATACTACAGTGCACCATACAGGAGCTCAGATACATTTTAAATTTACCTGGTGGATTTAAGGCCATTATTTTAATCTGCAAAAGCTCGATAATGAACTGTGACAAGGCTCAGTATATCAATAACTTTCATGGCTGATACAGAAACAACCCACGCAGCTAATTTCCACTTAATCCCACCTTGCAGCCCCTGAATTTGGCTCGGCTTTGTTGATAACTGCCCAAAGCTGTTTGCACTACAGATAATGTTTAATGGCCCTTTAACTGGAGCGCACAGGCTGCTACAGTTTAAAGGTTAACAGGAGAAAGCAAGATAAGTGGAGGAAGAGGGGGCAGAGGAAGATGGAGTACCCGTTGTCCTGATTGGGATCTTTTAATGTCAAAATGGATTTTCTTCTAAAAAAGTGTCATCAATCCGCTACTGAGTTGGTCAGATGTCTCTAGTAAAGGAAATATGGGAAATATCATGAAGGATAGGTTTCTTCCATAATGGCTGGATTTACACGTCCAACTATTTGCTTAAAAAGTGATAATATGTAAGTGTTGTATCAATTGCCACAAAATGGCCAAAACAAATCAGTTATTGCAGGATTGTGAAAACTGTGGATGTTTTATCTTATTACTTCTTTTCCAGAGCATGTCGGAGGAGAAGTACCGTCCACTCACCTCGAGGCTGCTGGTTGGTCGGCCCAGGTGGAATTTACTGTTTGATGAGATCGGGAAGACCAATAAGCAGTAAGTAGATTTCGAATGTCCAGGGGTGAAGATGCTCTCCAGTGTTATTACGTCTAAATTCTTTGTCTCAATACACTGTATTAATTGTGTCATATTGTTCCAGCACGAGCACTTCTATTGTAATTTACTTGTGGCAAACAGCTTTTGGTGACCTTATCTTAACAGACATGCATTGTGTTAAAACACAAAACAAGGCCACAGAGACAAATAGAAATATGTCTATAATAATAATAATAATAATAATGTCATTGATTTGATCAATTATTGGGCATATCTTTGATCGTACTGTAAAAAACAGCTTATTTTCCCCCCAGTGTTTGATAAATGATAAAATATCAATGATTAATTTAAAATGTAAGTCATACTGTATATATTGATCAAATCCAGGTTTTTTTTTGTTGCATTTTTAGCCTTTGATTGATGACTTCCTATTTGAAGGTCATGTGACCTGATAAAAGCTCCTCGTTAGTATAGTGGTCAGTATCCCCGCCTGTCACGCGGGAGACCGGGGTTCAATTCCCCGACGGGGAGAGTTACACTTTTTTAAAGCATGTTACACCCTGACAACATTAACAGGAAGCCGTAACACCTGTCTGTGATGAATCAGAGCCTGTCAGAGGTAGCAGAGGCACAGTCGGTCAACTATGGGAAACACTCGATGTAGTGTTTTTGTATACATGTATAATTCATGCACCTGATTTGGAAAGGTTTCAGCTCTGCCTCTTTACAAACACACACCTTCATTGATATTACTTTGTAAGACAGGCTTTGGTAAAGGCAGGAAATCAGATACAACGTTTGTCTGCTGCTTTACCCCTTTATAGAAAGATCCTGATCCCTATCAGAGTTAAGCGGCTGACCACAGAAAGGCAGTGACCCTTACACTCACAAGTTATAAGGAAGCCGTTAAACCTGTCTCTACTGTATCTTTCTTTCTCCCTCTATCTGTGGTTTTAGTAAGCGGGTCGGAGTTTTCTGTTGCGGACCAAAGGGCATCTCCAAGACTCTTCACAGACTGTGTAACTCAGCCCGATCCTCTGGAACAACCTTTGAATTCAACAAGGAGTCCTTCAGCTGATCGAACGTCCAAGCTGGTTTTATATTTCACTGAAAAACACAACTTTGCCATTTGACATATGAAAGTGGGCAAAAGAACTTGAACATTCACAGACTATATTGTTTATTCATATGCATCCCTCCTACGGTCACAAAAGACCCAGCAGAAAAACAACCTTAAAATACAGCCAAACCCACGACTGATGTTAAAATATTCAAGAAGCAAGAAAAACAGAAGAGACCAGCCCACTGCTCAGATCCTCCACTAAAGTTGCTGTTGGATTTTATCGTTTCCCTGGCACATCCCCATGGAGTAAATACGTCTTTCATCTTTCAGTGCACCAGGCGGAAACATCACGCAGGGATCGACAGACTTGTCTTTAAAAAAACAGTTAATTAAAATTAACACAGAGATGGAACCATGTGGAAAACATCCATTGTGGAATCAAGAACGAGTTAAGAGTCAGCCGAATTTAATTTGACCTTTACTTAACACAACAAAGAACCAGTACCAACCAGGCTCTACTGACCAAAAAGTGTCAGTGTGTCCCACTCACAGACAGAGGATTTGAGGATAGCCTTCAGGGAAATGTTGCTTTTCATCATCAGAATCTGCTGGGATTTGCTTTCACGAGTGGACATATAATGGACAACTGATTTAGTCTTTAGCCCAGTTCTAATCAGGCCCTTACACCCTCCCACTTTGTGTTGGTGTTGTATTTACACTCACAGCTGAAGGAAGCACCCTTCTTTGAGGCGTAAGGTATAGATACAACGGCAATCTTCATGATTAACTTCTCTACGACAGAAGCAGGAACTATTAAGTTTCGTAACCATGTTTTACTATGGAAGAGGCAACCTAAGCACATCCAGGAGAATACAACTTTGAAGCTTTTGGTGGCATTTCTTTTTATGTAAACAAGTTTTTAAGCCGCCTGGTTTTTGCAACAGTCTCTGTAATTATACAACGAAATGAACCCATCTTCTGTGTTTTAAACGTATAAAAGGAGTGGAAGTAGGGAGAGGGTTTAGGGGCCGGATTCGTATTGGATCTTTGTTTTACTCATGTTGTTTGCTGTTCATATACGTGTATCAAAATCTGTCTTTATACAAAGCAAACCTACACTACACCTCAAGCCAGTATTCTTAGTTGTTTTTATTATTATTTATATTGTACATGTAAAGTTATTTTCTTATGTTATGAGAAAAACTTCTGCAGGGTTTTGGCAAAGTGTATGTCATTATTATTTTCTTTTATACATATCCAGAAAGTCAAGTTACTGATGCAAAGAAATGAGGAGATGGGGGTTTCTGCAAAGAACCAACATCTTGATATTTCTGATTGTGTGCCTGAAACAACCATGAACCATCAACCATTTATTTAGCATTTCATATTTATATATATTTGAATGTTGAATTGTATGTCTATTTTTAGGAATGTTCTCTTTTTTGGCAAAGTCTGAAATAAAGAGATTTTCTATTTATTATATCTTATGTTGCTTGCAAATAATAAGTGGGGAAACATTTACTAATTTCTGGGCCAATTCTATGTTATTATCACAAAAATATAATTTGAAGTCACAAGTATGTTTTTTTACATTTAATTTTGTCAAAAAAACATACTTGCATCAACTGTTTACTGGCATTCATTAGATCCATGAATTAAATTAGTTGGTTCATTTAAAAATAGCCATCACATATGAACTTGATGTGACATGATGACAACAAAATTGCAAAGAAAACCGGATCTTGTTGTTCAATTTTAATGCAGCATATAGTACACAAACTCATGATTTGTTATCATGATACCTCTTACTTCTCTTTTCCTCTGAACGATCACAGTCTCTTCTCATAGCACACTGCTGTGGTCCTTTAGCACCAGCGGTAACACACAAGAGAGATGTGGGAGACTTTCATTTCAAACCTTTATTTAACGAGATTGGTCCCATTGAGATCATAGATCTCTTTTTCAAGGGAGACCTGCAGCATTGAGATAAATCATTTCAGTAAATGTACTCAAAGGAAAGCTGACACAAGTCACTGTACAAATACAAGAAAATACTGTAGTGAACTATAAAAAATACTTGCATGTTCATGAAAACATGACAAAAGACTGATTGCATTTTATAATTGAATAACAATTGGCTCTGTGTGAGGTAAAAATATATCCCAAAAATATCTGCTGGATGTATAAACCTTTTGGGTTATCTTTCAGATGTTGGGTACCTGATTCTTATCCACGATCTTGATTTAAATTGCCCCTTACTTCAAAAGGTTAGTTCACCTTAATACCAAAAATATATATGAAACTCTAAAATCCATTGAAAACGTTAAGATAAGGTTTTTTAATCCTCTCATTGTTTTTTCTAAGACATGTTGCTGAAATGTTTCCATGCTATTACCATCACAATTCAATTAACTTCACCTGCACTGTATCGCTATAGTTTTAGCAGTAATTATCTCAAAGTCAAACAAGATACCGTTTACAATTTCAGTGGATTCTTTTCTAGAGCTCAATTACACATTTTACCTTGCACCTGGGTTTATCTTGTTTACTTGCATCATGAAAAAGCAGTCCCTAATAGTTAATGTGTGTGTGTGTACAGTATCAGTGTGCGTTACAGAGTAGTCTGGTATGAAGATGAGCCTTCCTCTGAGCTGCTCTGCAGTAATGGCTGTCTCTCTCCAAAGCTCGGCACCCTCTTCCTCCTCTGGTTACGCTTCCACTTCCTTCTTGCAACAATAAGCACCGCGGCGAAAATTGCAGCGATCAGCGCCCCGAGGATCCCGGCTCCCAGAAGCCATTGCCAGATTTGCTGGGCCTGCTCCAGGTATGGCGTCAGATACTCCTGAACAAACCTCTGGCCTGTAGAGGATAAAAAAAATTGACGTTTAGGAAATGTTGTAGAAACACTTTTTTACTGGCCTTGTTTTGTTGTTCTATACTCACCAGGGTCCAACAGGTAGGCATACTCAAATCCTAGAGCCTTATCGGACAGGAAGTAGTCTCCATTTCTGTACAGAGGCAAGAAGGGCACCATGTAGTAACCGTCATTGTGGCCGATGGGGGCATTGGATCGTGGGTAGTGGGTCCGGAGAGGCTGGTGAGTTCTGAGCCAGCGCTCAAAGATGCTGGAGAAGAGAGGGAAGGAACAGAGAGTTATTATTTCTATAATATACTACTCTGTCCCTCGAGCACCACTTGACTTAATACTTCTTACTTTTCTTTTGCCTCTTAACTTATTTTCTCTTTGTTCATCTTAACAAACACAATTGGGTATACGCTGCACTAAGTGATGCTGTAACCATAAATGATTCTATCTTCCTCTGTGTATTAATAGACTTCATTGTACCTGTCAATGAAAGCATGGTGCAGCAGGAATATGGGGTCGTTGGCTGAGCCCTGCACTGAGGACATGGAGCCGTTCATGAAGACATGCAGGGCGTTGTGCATGGTGCTCTGGCCTGGAGCTGCCATACCTGACGTCGGACTGGCAAAGCCTGCGAGTGGAAAGAAAAGTAAAAACATGTATATAGGAGAAGAGAATCAAAGAGACACATGTTTACATGCCTCAGGCATGTGAGTAGTGTGATCATCAGTCACAGTGTAGACAAGCCCCATATTTCTACTAAAGACATTTGTTGCAGGAATGTCAAAAGTCACTTAAAAGTTATATATGACGTTTTAACAGTCACATCTATTTGTGGACAAGAAAACGTGAATCATTTGTTGATTGCTATGGCTTGGTATTTTACGTGCCCTCAGACTCTTTGGTTTATTAGGATCAAGGGAGGCGTGTGGCGCAGTGGACTAATGTCTTGGTGTTCGGATCAAGGGAGCACAGGCTCAAACCCCACTGCAGTCAGCATGTCGTTGTGTCCCTGGGCAAGACACTTCACCCCAAATTGCTCCTGTGGGGATTGCCCACAGTATTGAGTATGTAAGTCGCTTTGGATAAAAGCGTCTAACAAGTAACATGTAATGTAATTAAAATAAAATGATGTTCCATTGTAAAAAGCCCGGATCATGGAGACAATCTGTTATCTGGGAAGTTTTCCACATCACTATTTGTTCTTGTTATTCTTTGATGCAGACAGACATGTAATTGTCTACCCTTGCAGGAACTAACTGCATACATAGTCTTCCACTTGATTGGACAGATTAGACCAAGGATTGGATTCAGCTTTAATTGTTAAGAATTATAATAATGTGCACAGTATGTGTGTGTCTAACACCCCTACCCTCTATGACGTTTCTAAAGCTCCCATTGGCTAATCTGTCCATGGATCCCGACTCGTACTCCGAGAGGCCCACAGTGAAATCCACATCAGCTGTTGTGGGGAGTCTCGGCATGCGGTTGCGGTCATGGTTGCCAGGGTTGCGCAGCAGTGGACCCTCCCCTGTGGCGTTACACAAGGCCTCTCTGCTGTTGTACTCCTCGGGATTGGTGCAGATCACCTACACACACACACACACACACACACACACACACACACACACACACACACACACACACACACACACACACACACACACACACACACACACACACACACACACACACACACACACACACACACACATTTTGTAAGTTACTTAGGTTTAAGGGTCATAGACCTTCCTGAAGCTCTACCCCAAATATCAAAATGCAGAACATACAAACTACTGCAAGTTTCTGGACAGACTTCTCTCAATAACTGAGAAGACGCTATCTTTTATATTTTCCCTGTGGTCTACAGCCTCTGAAGTAGGATTTCCCCTCTGATCTGTTATGTTGAATGAATCCGTTGAAGGCAATTCTTAAAAAAAAGAAATGGCAGGTTTCATTATAAACTACAGGCCTGTCTCTCTCCTCCTGTTCCTGTCTAAAACACTTGAACGCGCTGTCTTTTGAACGCGCTGTCTTTAAACAACTCTCCTGTTATCTCCATCAGAACAACCTTCTGGATCCGCACCAGTCTGGTTTCAAGGCAGGTCACTCAACAGAAACTGCCCTCCTTGCTGTCTCTGAGGAACTGCACACTGCTAAAGCAGCATCCCTCTCCTCTGTCATCATCCTTTTGGACCTGTCTGCTGCATTCGACACGGTGAATCATCAGATCCTCCTTCGCACTCTCCAAGAACTTGGAGTTTCAGGCTCTGCACTTTCCCTCCTCACCTCATACCTCAAAGACCACACCTACAGGATTACTTGGAGAGGGTCCGAGTCCGACCCTTGTGAATTAACTACAGGGGTCCCTCAGGGCTCTGTTCTTGGTCCCCTCCTCTTCTCCCTGTACACAAACTCGCTCGGATCAGTCATTAGCCCGCATGGTTTTCATACCACTGCTACGCTGATGACACCCAATTAATTCTGTCCTTTCCCCGCTCAGAGACCCAGGTCGTCGCACGCATCTCTGCTTGTCTAGCTGACATCACTCAGTGGATGTCTGCCCATCACCTCAAGCTCAACCTTGACAAGACTGAACTGCTTTTCCTTCCGGGAAAAGATTGTCCCACTCTTGACCTAACAATCAACATCGGCACCTTTATTGTTTCCCCGACTCAGACTGCAAGGAATCTGGGTGTGACCCTAGATAACAAACTGTCCTTCACTGCAAACATTGCTGCTACAACCCACTGCTGCAGATACAGTCTTTACAACATCAGGAGGATACGTCCCCACCTGACCCAGAAAGTGACTCAGGTTCTGGTCCAGGCTCTCCTCATCTCACGCCTAGACTACTGCAACTCCCTCCTGGCTGGTCTACCTGCATGTGCCATCCGACCTCTGCAGATCATCCAGAATGCAGCGGTTCGCCTGGTCTTCAACCTTCCTAAATTCTCCCACACCACGCCGCTCCCTTCACTGGCTTCCGGTAACTGCTAGAATCCACTTCAAGACAATAATACTTGCGTACCATGCTGCGAATGGATCTGGCCCTTCCTACATCCAGGACATGGTTAAACCGTACACCCCAGCACGTGCACTCCGCTCTGCATCAGCCAAACAGCTCTCTGCACCCGCACTGCGAGGGGGACCCAAGTTCTCATCAGCAAAAACATGTGGGTTTGCTATCCTGGTTCCAAAATGGTGGAATGAGCTCCCCATTGAAATCAGGACAGCAGAAAGCCTACACATCTTCCGGGGGAGATTGAAAACTCATCTCTTTCGACTCCACTTCGAGCGATATAATTATTAACAAAGCACTTATATACTAATAAAGGACTGGCTTATCTAAAGCCAGTTGAGTAGCACTTGAAATGTTTTAGCTCTATGAAACCTGATGTACTTATATGATTCTGTTTTCTTAATAAAAGCGTCAGCTAAATGCAATATAATGTAATGTAATGTTTCAAACCAAATCGCACATTTCTTTGGATTAAGAGGCTAAACCAGCTTTAGAAGTAAACCTGCATAGTGCAATAGGGGAAAACAAGCCTTTGTTTGTTTCCTGGAGAAAGGAATCTTTTGTTTCCTAATAATGGATAAGAAATATTTGCTAATAGATCAACACATAGTTAAACATGCAGTTTTCACTCACAGTCACACTCACAATGAGATTCAGAGAAATAGCATTTATTTTCTCACCTTCCATGAGGAGAAGACTGAAGCGGGGCTGATGAGGTTGGGATTTAGGGGGCTGCGTCCCCCCATCAGAGCGTCGGTGCATACCTCACAGGTCTGGGCATCCCTCCAGTCCCAGTATGGGATAGTGAAGTTAAAATCTCCAGTCAGCTTTCTTATCTCATTCTCCCAGTGGAGCAGGAAGACTCGGTGCCATGGCAAGAATGCAGCAGATTCATGGGCAAAGTCAATATCTCTCCACACGTTCCCTGGCCCTCCCAAGAAGGCGTCCCGGGACACGTAGTAGTGCATCCAGACAAAGAGATCATAGGAGTTGATGTCAGAGAACAGGGGGTTCTCACCGTTTTCCCCCATCTCTGCTCTTGTTGCCGTTGAGATCACATAGTCAGCGTTGATGGTGTTCTTTGCCAGGTTCAGATAAGAGGTGAACTTCTGTTGCTCTGCAGGTGACATGGTCAGGATGTTCCTGCGCACTGACTCCCTGTACTCAGCACAGTTTGAACCCCAGTAACCAAACCTGCATTCACCACAGTTATAACCTCCATAGTTTCCAGCACAACGACAAGTCCGGTTAAAGAAAGCTAAAGGCCATCGCTCTCTGTCGTCAATCCCACTGTGGGGGTACTGGGGCCCATGGGGCTCATCGGAGACCTCCACCTCGGTGCAGAAACCACGTCCTGACATAGCACCGCATTGTGAGCCATCCCCGTCCCACACAGGGCAACACTCTTTGGTCCGTAGGCCTTCTGAGTTGGCACATGGGCGAGGGTATTGGCATAAACAAGTCCCAATGAGCTGCAGCAGAACTACAGATACATACAAGTTCTTCATGATGAAAAGTCAGAGGAGCTCCAGTCTTAACTACAGTGGGAATGTAAAGTCCTGCTAAGAAGATGCTCAAATTAAAGCCTGATGCCTTCACAGACTGCAGCTGAAATGGTTAGACTCAAAAGCAGCACAGAGGAGTACGTTCCCTGCCAGAAAGTTACATCTAGTTAGAAGGGTACAAGCAGAGAAATACAGGATTGCTGTTACCTGTATTTATACAATCACTAAGACTTACTTCTCAAAGGTTGTAGCTTGGAGATTTCTGAAACTTGCTTCCCCTCTCCCCCACCATCTAACCCTCCACCAAACCTCCTTCCACCTCTCACTCTGTTAAACCCAGCCAGCCGTTGAGCCGTTTTAGGGGCTGTCCTTTGACAAAGTGTGTGATCTCATTGTGATCTCACACACTCAGAAAGGCACACACACAAGCCCTCACACACCATCACATGCTCAGGATAATAATCCTGAATCCTAAATTTTATCTTGAGACCAGCTGACCTGCCTTACTTTACCCCAGGCAGAGAGAGAGAGAGAGAGAGAGAGAGAGAGAGAGAGAGAGAGAGAGAGAGAGAGAGTGTGTGTGCCCCCCCCCCCTTAGCAAATTCTGGCCCGGAATTTATCCAGTTTGCATTTAAAATGGGAAAAAGCCAGGGATGAAAGACTAAAAGAATATAAGAAGATTTAAATGTTAAATTCCACAGAACATTAATGAGAATTAGGTATCGTGCCACAGTGATCTTAAGCTGTGCCCGTTTTCAGTAGGGCCAGACTTTAGGTTAGTTGTTCTTCAGGGTATAAAGTAATGCAGGAGTTCTGCTCAATATGGCTTCCCCATTATGTCTAAATTAAAATACAGTAAAAAAACCATCCTGAGTAAGTTAGACATATCAAGTTACTGCTATCTTAAGACATATACTGTAGGCTACTTATCTTCGGCTAATCATCACCTTCAACTATCTCAACAATAATGACAGAAAATACATAACCATTGAGATGTACCCTTGTGAGGCCATGTACATCCTAAAGGTTAAGCAAACATGATGAGCTCAAAACTTAAAATAATAGGCACAGTGCTTGTTTCTGTATACAAAACAACAATAGTATTACAAATCATGGCCTGAAAAGCTAAACTTTAAACAATTTGTTGCAGCTTTGGTGCGAAAAAAACCATTGGAAAAATGTAGATTATAGGGGTAATATTAGTCTAACTAAAGTCGTCCAACAAACAAAAAATGAACAACATATGTAACACTTGAAATAACTTGATCATTTCATATTCAATACTTCCATAAAGCCTTTGTAGCTTGTGTGTAAGATTAAGTTCACATAACTGACCTTATTCACTTAAGATGTAACAATCTAAAGTAAGTTACAAACTCTTTTCATGCCACATAAATGTGAAAATCTGTGGCAGTTTTCTCCTTTTCCACTACAGAAAGGCAGACATGTTTAATAAAGAATACAAACCATCAAACGCTTTTTTTTTATCACTGTTGCGTAACAAAAATCTATGTTTGAGAAAAAAGTACACAGCTGAGCTAAGTTGGTGCTGTAATCCATTTAATTTCAATTAATGTGTGAGAAAGTGAGAAGAGTTTTTCTTTGTGTTAATTACAACAATTTTTGTTCTGCTTCTTCAAGGTGCATTTCCTTTGTTCGCAGTTCATTACAGGCCATTATTTTCGGTGTTCTTCCGTACATACACAGACACACAAAGACGATAACAGAGCTTAGGTTGAAGGATGCTAAGTTATGTATATGCAAACTGTGTCAACATTTGTATCAGTTGATTGCATTATGGTTACAATATCATGGTAATAAACGATCACCTATCAAATCCAAAGTGTAAAAAAAGAAATACCAGTATTGTTAACCATATGTATTTGAAGTACAAATATTGAAACTGCAGCAGAATATCCTGTCCTTGTGTTTCATTGATGTAATAAATAATAATGGGAATACATTAGTTTTCTGGAAGTAGGCTAGTTAAGGCTGTATTGTGCTGACAAAAAGCATTTGATCATGGTGGCATAGGTAGTAAATATGGTTTGAATAATTAATTATAATATATTCAATAAACATGTAACAAATGTAGCATTAAACAAAGTTACAGGTGCTTAAAAAACATTGTAGCCTACAATAAAATACATCAACATGTCCTCATAATGGTACAGCGTGACGGTCATCCGCACAATACAAGAATGTATGTGGAAAGAAAACGAGAGTGAGAGAGATTGTTCTCCACCATATGCTTTGCCACATTCCGCAGACTAGTACAGACAGTACTAGGCCCAGAGCATAAAGTCATCTGCGCAATCCTCAGGATCACAAGCCGGTCACATGCTGCCGGAGCCAGGCACGGGGTGCAGCTTATCCGCTGCAGGAGCGCAGCGGAGCGCACATGAGTGACCATCACAGGATAAACCTGACCGCAGGGCTGCTGAGAGAGAGACTGTGAGTGTGTGTGTGTGTGTGTGTGTGTGTGTGTGTGTGTGTGTGTGTGTGTGTGTGTGTGAGAGAGAGCTGTTTCTTTGAACTTTCTGAGAATTCCACTTTCTTTAAAGCTCTCCAGTAACAGCAGTTCACTCAATCAAGTTACTCCTGCATGTTTCAACAACCATGTGACATCAACATTTCTCATACATATATTTATATTTTATCCCATCCAGACACAAGAGGGCAGCATGACCCATTTATTGGTTTATTGCCTGAAACAGAGGAAGCCCACAGGGACCTGTCATAGCATTGTTATTGTTTCCTTTTCGTAATGAGACAGCATTAAAGGGGGACCACTGGTGATTTGACCAGCTTGCAGTATATCTAATGGTTATGTGACCTTCTTTCAGTTCAGAAAGCGTATTTATTCAAAATCCACCCACACGTCAGACAAATCTTTCAAAATGTCTACTAAAAGGAAGAAACTTAATTTGCACCTTGTTCCCAAAGGAGATACATTGTTTCTTTGCAAGAATATTAAAACATTGCTATCAGTCAAATGTATTGAAACAGGTGGAACTGTCTGTAGTCCACCCAAATGGTGTTGTTCTCACACCGTTTCACAGGTAATGGGCTCCTTTCATCACAGCAGTTCACAGCTCAAGAGTGATGAAAGGAGATAAGTATGTGTGTGCGTGTGTGTGTGTGTGTGTGTGTGTGTGTGTGTGTGTGTGTGTGTGTGTGTGTGTGTGTGTGTGTGTGTGTGTGTGTGTGTGTGTGTGTTATTGCTGACCTGTGACCTAATGCTCCTCATCTGCATCTTGACAGAGTGAGAAAGATAGATCTACAGATAAGATTAATTGATCAACAGAAAATCTATATTCAACAATAATGATTTCCCTTCTTTCAATTTCTCAAGTGTGAACTTTCTGTGACAGTTAACTGAATATCTTTTGGTTTATACGTTTTTTCCTACATTTTTTGTGATGTTCCTTTTTGAATATTGTGGTGCTGCAGCATCCAACGTTTGTGTGCTGTCCCTGTTTCCAGGTTATCTTGGTTGTCAGAGACACTGTGACAGCTTGTCATCCTCTGCTGGAAGTTTACACAGACATTGAGGCTTCCTCTAGTTTGTTTTGTATGCACCCAGAATCCGTAAAAGACTGCCAGAACATCCGGGGACATAACCTTCTTTTCGAAAGTGTGATTCATCCTATCACATCCTAAAAATGTGATAGATAACAACCAATACAGTGTTAAGTTATATCACAAATCCTGCTAAATGCAAATATGTTCTAGGTTTATATTTTAAAGGAAATTCAAATCTTTTGAATGGCTTTTTATGATTAGGTATATGTTGATGAGGTAAGATTATTCACTTGATTACAGCGGTTTTCAGCTAGTTTCAAACTCTTTGCAGTCAAGTTGCATTATGGTAAAATAGGTGTCAAAGTGTCACATAAAAAGGGTTGGCATTGTGACATTGTTTCATCAAACTGGTGAACGTGTTAAACATGTACAGTAGTTGGGATGTATCAAGCATCTTAAGGAAGCATACATGCCTTATGATAACACAAGCAAAACAATCAAGATGATCAGGCGTATTAGGAATTAAATATAAGAGGTGAAGGTTTACTACATATCACAGTTGTATTGTTTAGTTCCTTTAAAACAAAAGAGTGACATTGGAAGATGTGATAGAAGAAAATCCTTCAGTTACATTAAAACCCCAATATTCACTTCTTCAATGAAGCAGGAATCACATTACATGAGAGTGAATGTTTCATAACTGACAGACTTATTTCTCCGTTAGCATTATGTGATTGCAGTTTTTTGTGTGTCCTACTTTGAATATCTCAGACAAGTGACAACCCTGTAAATCAGCTATGTGTTTATGGCAACCATGGGAAAGCAATGTTATTTTGAAATGCCATTGAATAATGGATTTGCCGACTGTGACACTGACTCTGTTGTGCTTGTGTTTTGCGGAGGAGTGTGTTAAAAAGAGAATGTTACCCCTATGGATGTTTAGATGCCTGTGCTGTACACTCACACATTACATTACAGTCATACATACAAGTATAGGGTGTTCTGAAATCTTATTTCCTTCGAACCAGGGGACCTGTCGCTGTGATGCACTCCACTGTAGCCCACACATTTGGCCTAACAGTGTCACGTTTCAGGTGTCATTCTTTGCAAGTAGGAGTTGAATTGGTTTCTGAATGTGTGAAAGAGACTGGAATCTAATGAGTCAAATTGAGCTGATCCATTGGTTTCTGCTTGATTTCCTTTTATTACAGCAGTGAAGGGTTGGCATTTTATCTGTGCTAAACAGCTCGGTTTAAAAAACAAGGACTCTATGTGACAGCTGACAGAAATGTCCTGTGTGTCGGAGTCTCTAATCATTGTTGATTTCTGTGTGACTGATCCACTCAATTCTGTGTGTGCAAGGATCCATCACATTTCCATGGCAATGTAATGTAATGTAACCCATTTGAGGCAGCTACTCGGACAGACAATTTACCTAACATCCATCTATATCTCAGTGTTAATTTCAGAATAAGGATTATCTTCTAAATTCTGCATTTTACCTCTAAATGTGTCATATTGCAACAACAAAGATATCCCATTAAAAAAAATGGCAGAATTTATTTTCAACACCTCCAGTGAGAAATTGCAGCAATCGGTTTCCTATAATTCACTGCCGTCCAGTCAATCGTTTAATGGTGCATTCAATTGATCGCAGACCTTGTTGTGTGCATCATATTTGTGTTCAGGTGGTCAATGGTAAATACATCACATAATCTAGATCAATGAAAAATCAATGTGGTGTTCGTGTTAGCTGCCTGATTGTGAAATGTATGAGAAGCAATTAAAGACAAGTGTAAGTTATATGGATATATAAATGGAAGTTATGAATACATTTACATATTTAAATAGTTAAATTCGACACTGTCCAAAGCTGGTACGTTGCCAGTTTAACATTCTGTGGAACTTCAACTGTTAGTTCAATTACTGCATTGTGGAATTGTCAGGTAACTTGTCTGATTTATTGTAACTGATAGGTACCATTTTGTTCGCTGTTCGATTGATTGTGTGACCTGCTGATATTTGGCCAGCTGCTGGAACATTTCATTAGGTTTATTTTCTGTTTGATTACACAGTCTGGCCCTTTGAGGGGATCCAGCTCTTCAATCAGAATGTAATGTTCATTAAATTGGAGGCAACTAGTCTTTTTACTTTTGGCATTTGTAGGACCGTGTAAAGCCACTGAGAAACCCACATTTTCTGTTTATAAAGGTTTATCTTATTATCAGTTCAACTTCACCCTTGACCAGACATTAAGAAAAAAAAGAGATAAAAATGCTGTAGGCTAGTCTTACTGCCCTAATGAAATTACAAAATTGCAACAAAGTCATGGGGTCTTTTGGGCTCCTGAGTGTCCGTATCCTGTGGCAACTGCAAGCTTTGCATACTGGTAATTGAGCCTTGGGTGTTTTATAGTTTTGTAATGGCTCGTGACAACTTAAAAGATAAGGACTACCATGTTGACACAATATTTATAGCCAGACACACAAGCGAAAAAATTAGATAGAGACAGAGAGCTTTTTTTATGTCGTCTATAAGCATATGCACCAGTACATTGGCCAGTTAGATCAGGGATAGAGAGAGAGTGAGAGAGATAAAGGTCAGGGTTAGTAAGGCTATCACTGCATCAGCTAAAGCCCTGTCCAGTGTGTGTGTGTGTGTGTGTGTGTGTGTGTGTGTGTGTGTGTGTGTGTGTGTGTGTGTGTGTGTGTGTGTGTGTGTGTGTGTGTGTGTGTGTGTGTGTGTGTGTGTGTGTGTGTGTGTGTGTGTGTGTGTGTGTGTGTGTGTGGGCCTATGGCATTGCTCTTTTAATGGTCTGCTAATCCTAAATGCATTTGGCTGGCAAATTAATCCAAGCCTTGTCATAGCCAAGCTTTAAAACCCTTTTTTCTATCCCAACCCTGTCTCTCTCTCTCGATCTTCATTCCTCCCAGGCTACTCTCTATCAGTTTCCATCTCCAGATGGTATCTTGGAGGTAGGTGTGATACAGAGAGTGAGAGAACAAGAGGGAGAGAGAGAGAGAGAGAGGGAGAGAGAGAGAGAGAGAGACAGAGAGAGAAAGAAAGAGAGAGAGAAATAGAGAGAGAGAGAGAGAGAGAGAGAGAGAGAGAGAGAGAGAGAGAGGAGAGAGAGAGAGAGAGAGAGAGGATCACCTGTGACGCGAACGGAGCCTCCTCATTGGAGCGGAGGAGAGAGAAAGAGAGAGAGGGGGGTTCATTTGTTGCCATAGTGAAAACGTAGATTACCCACAGACAGCATGATGCGCTGATGCACGCGTGAAGGGATGCTGTGTTTCTCCAGGAGCATTCACCTGTCCTGCATGCAAAGGTATGTAACTTCTCTTGTTTTGCACTCGTGGATGGGACTTTATATAATTGCATGATCGAGTAAAGATTTATTTCTCCTAAAACACACAAGTTCATGTCTGGGATTCGTAATCGAGTCAGGCGCTTCCTCAGATAGCTCCCCTTTACGTGTTATGGCATAGGAGAAGTAAGATGTATTTTATAGCCAGTTGCATCAAAGAGTGATCATGAAATATCGACTTGTAATTTTTGTTTGTTTAAACCCTATAAAAATACTGCAATATGTATGTAGGCTAACATTAGATGCATGGATATGATAAAACAAAGTAGTTACATATTATTTGTTTTCTAAGGGAATATTGTTCAGTCATAAAGCAACATACATTTCTAAATATTGCTTCCAGTAAAAAAAAACATAAATTCAGTGTTTTTTAAAGGAAAAGTTATCTTCATAAAAAGTTGCCATGCCCTTTAAAATAGGGTACACAAACAAGTATATTTTCGTACAAAACCTGAGACAGTCTTTGCTTGCAGTCAGTGTTATTATGGCTGGAGACATTTGCAGGGGGGCAGGATATTTCCATTAGATTCCTATTGATTTTTTAGATTTTTTAATGATTTGATCTCTGTGGGTCTTTAAAGTTGGCGCCAATCGAAGCTGTATAGGTTAATGGCTCTTCTGTGACCGCCATGAAACTTCAAATGTTATCGATCTCCTCCAGTGCGTCGTTATCCCAGTTTACAGCGTCACCTCTGATGTGTGTGTGATCCGAGGGGAGAGAGACGGTCCAGCTTCATTCTACACAGGAGGCTATTAGAAGAACCACTGATCGCCTACTAGGCCCTGCGTCCATTTCTTTGATCAGTACAATTTAATTAAAGGTGCGTGTGAGTCCAGGCTTTACAGTACAAGTCAAAAGGACCATTGACTCAGATGGGTGCACACAAGGGAAATAAAAAAATAGATACTGAAAGCTACAATCTACTTAGCTTTGAGAGCTTTAGCCTACTCGTTTTTTTCAAAATGAGTTTTCAAATGTTGGCTATCAACCAACCTCTTTCCAGATATATCCAAAGACAAAACAGTAAGTCAACAGAGTGACTATGATTGGTGGATGGTAACTGTAAAACAAAATGTAAATCTTTATTTGGACATTCCACTTTCGCCATTTAGGGATATCAATGTTTAAACATTGGCAAGTGAAATCAATTAATGCAAATCAGACCTGTTCCCATTTTAGCTAGGCTAAATTACTAATAGGCTATGCATATTTGTGTATGGTGTGTATAATGTGATGTGCACTGCAGTTTATTGTATTACCAAATGTGTGGTTTTATGATTCGGAAATCTGTAGTCATAGGCTATATTTTAATTACACTGTGCTTTTAAAGCCTATCTAGACAATCGTTTAAAAAAAATCATAATATCTTTGAACAGCACATTAGTTTTATGCAAAGTAGGCCTATTCTTAATTATTGGTAGGGGCTGTGTTCATGTCAATAAGTCACATTTAAACGTAGGACACTTTTGGAACAGAGAGAAAGTGACAACAAACCGGAAGTCAGCTCTGATTGGCTGAATCGCGCAGGTCACAGGTGTTCTGTCTGAACAATTACTTCGCTCTTTTCGGTGGTGTGTAATGTCGGTTTGTAGTAGTGTGGGTTGAGTTTATGCACCACAGAAGACGACTTTTTTGGTGCGTAGGTGGCAGAAAACTGGATATCTCGGAAAATGGGAATCACAACTTGACGAAGAAACAGTTTTAGAAAGCAATTAGCCTTGCTAGCAAAACAGTCATGTTGTTAGCAATTAGTCAGGGCAAACTAGCTGCTAGCTTGTCCAATTTTAGGAACACAGTTTTTGTGTTTGTCCTCACTTCTCATCAGGTAGAAAGACAAGATGAAGGACAGGAGGATAAGCAAGATAGATGAGGTGAAAGAAATGTTGAAAAACAAGCTGAGAGACCCAAGGGACATACAAGATAAGAGGAGAGGAGGCCAAATGAAAAGGTTGGTGTTTGAGTGAAATTAAGCGGCGTAAACGAAGTAATTTTCTTAAGTACAATTTTGAGGTAGGCTACTTGTACTTTACTTAGGGCTTTAAATTGTTTGCTACTTTTTACTTCGACTTTGTTTTACTCCACTACATGTATCTAATACCTTTGGTTACTTTGCATATTTTGATTAATGGTGTGAAATACAATCAAGACTTTAGTTACACCTGGTGTAAATGTACAAGCTACCCTGCAGGGTAAGGTAACTAAAACTAGCTGCACCTTTACCAGCTTTGATAACACTTTGCATCAATAATGAGTAATGAACATAATGAGTACTTTCGCTTTTGGTACTTGAGTAACCTTTACTTGTTACAGAGTATTCCTGCACTTTGCAACTTGTACTTTTACTTAAAGATCTGAGTACTTCTTCCAGTTAGACTAAAAGGGGGGAATTAAATGGAGATGGACTGGAGGTTATAAAGATGGAGAGCTGGAAAGGAGTGGATGAGAGGCGAAATAAAGCTCGCAGATAGGTGGGATTGGTTGTGGAGAGGGGCTTAGGCACGAGAGGAGGAGCGAGGGGCGCGAGGTGTTTGGAGACACGCTCAGGTGTGCGTGACTGGAAAACGGAGGGAGCTCTGCACAGAGACAGCTCCAGTGTGTTTGACATTGGAATACACGTTATCGGCAGTGTCTTCTCTCTGCGTGTTGGAACTTGCAACCTAATTGCCAAACCGTGTCAAGGACGCCAGCGAGACATATAATCAAATAAGGTAAGATTACGATTTTTGCAGAAATGTAATGAAAAGACCACCGTGTTTCTTCACACACTTATCCCGCCTGCCCTACTCAATATTCTGCTCAGAGTCGCACTTTGATATTATTGTTCTTGCAGTATCCATGGAGGGACTCACTTGCAGTTACATCGGGACTCCTTGAATTATATTAAGGTTATTTCCAGAGATACATCCCAATAGGACGGAGAGGGATCAGAAACCTGGCTTTTATCCGTGCATGCTGTAACAAGGTTAATTTCAGACGGTGTCTCTGTCATGCTTTGCACCATTCGCTTGTACAAAATAAATAATCGCACGAGTGTTTGATTCGGTGCAAATGATGGACTCTGATCTCCTACTGCGGTTGACGGATGCAGCTCTGCGCCAGTCATTGTTGTTGTCTCCGGATTTCATTTCTCCTTGGAGAGAGGCAGCTTGCCCGAACGCTGCACATCCATAATATCAGCTAATGCATTGCTTTATAGTGACGCTAAATGAACATCAACGAAGCCCCATAGACACAACATGCAAATCAGCTACAATGAGGTCGTTGAAACAGACGATTGAGATATGGCTGCAGATTAAGTGATTTGAGGTCAGAGCTTGTTTGGGAGAGTAAAGTCAGGCGCCGCTGTCTCACACCTTGTCTGGTGTGCAGCTGCAGCAGGTAGTCAATACTGTGTTGGCACAAATACTTTACATGTATGTTTTATTCAGACACTGTGTTGTATAACATTACCAAAGGGAGATAATCCAATGTTCTCAATAGTGCGTTCAGTGACATAATGTGATATAGATGTTGGCTTGATCACTACACTGAATTTTGATTCAGAGAGATTCTGATGGGGGGTTTGACATCTTCCTGCCTGAAATTGTCCAATAAGGTCATTCAGTGAGTGTGATTAGATGGAATGTCTGACAAATGTATTTAGCTGTAGCAGTCAGGGTAGATGCATGTAAGAACCAAACATGAATGTAGTGTAGGTGTCTTTAAGCCTCAGTGGTCTCAGCACCAGGGACAGCTCCTATAGCGGCACTGTGGTAGTTTCAGAAACAAGGCAGCAGTCACTAAAGAGCTAAATACACGTTTGAACTTTTTAGATTTGCTGAAACGCCTTATTTCCTGCTGCAAAATAAAGTCCCCTGTCCACTCGGGAACAAGACACACATGGAGACACATTGTCACATGGAAGATGAGCACAAACCTCCCCTGGATAACTGAAGCTTCCCTGAAATATTGCTGCTTCCTTGTGGTGTGTACACAACAGAAATCACAGTCCGACCCATGCTAGTTGCCGATGAATTATTTTGGAAGCATTGCGTTATGGAATAGCTTGATGGTGCCAATTTGCTCGGTTGAACTTTCATTCAGTTATATTCGCAGGAAGATACAAACATTCTCTTTTATTTAAAGATGCGTTATCGGTTATTAAACTGTGATGCTGGTACTCCATTTTTTCCCTACATTCTCTGCTGGTAGTATATAACTCTTACAAGTGCACACGGCCAGAAGGTGATGAGATAATGCTTTCTTAAGATCATGTCGTTGAATGCACAATAACTATAGGGCATTCAGGATGCCTCCATTTAAGCATGTTTAGGTCTCGATTGCGTCAGTTTGTGTCCTGATGTACATTTATCTAAGGACACTTTTTTCCCCAATTCATTTAATTTGTCAAAACTTACAGTAAAACAGTTTTACAGTCCAACTCAAGCCACTCGGACGATAAAAAGAGCAACAGCAATCTATTTTGAAACCTCCAGACGCTGACCCTGCTCCATCATTTATTACAAACTGCAATGTCTGTGCGTCACACAGAGCAAGACGGAGAAAATAAATGTGTTTGCTTACCAGGGATTCTTTTAGATGGATTGTAATTATTATTATCATCCCTGTTTAATGAACACTAAATGAAATGCTTTCTCAACACGTAAAGAGTGTGAGTTTGCACTAATGCAACTCATTGAATTAAAGCAAGACAGAGAGGGAGGGAGAATGCTGGTCTCCGCCTGTGATGTCTCTTTAAGTGTGTAGAAGTTGATTTGGAAGGTTTTTGAAATGCCCTTGTGCGTAGTTTGGATAGAACTAGACGTAGAAATGCCTAATAGCGTGTGCAAAATGTTTGTTTAGGGAATGAGGATTTGATTTTCTCTTCCTCTCAGTTAGGCCTACGCAACAAGAGAGGGACACAGAGGGGGAGTGTGACAGAGGCACAGCATGTAAGCCACTGTGTGAGAGAGGCATACCGAAGAGACGATTGCAAATGAAACAGTGGCTTGTCTCAGGGAGAGAGAAGCGGGTGGGGAGAGGACTTTTAGGTGAGTGGGAATTTGAATGACCTGAGTTAGCAGTGTCATTTGTAACTTCACATTAATGTGGCAGTAGATCTAGGGAACAGTAGACGAAGACACAATCGCATCATTGGTACAGACAGACAGACAGACAGTGTGTGTGTGTCGAGTTTTGTTTTATTTGTTCATTATGGGAGCAGCGGTTAGGCCTGTTGCCATCCTGACACTAGCATGTTAATTATGTTCAGTGAGACTCTCTGTCCCCTGATGCCTCTTTTTATCACTCTCTCTCTTGTTCTGTTCTCATCTCCCTTTCTAGCTTTATCTCTCCTCCTCTTCATCTTTCTACATGCACTTCCGCTTTTGCTTCCTTCTCCCACGCCGCTGTTCCCCCTTTCCTCACCAAATCCTCCCACCTTCTGTCTTTTTGTCTAATACTGCACTCGGTTTTCTTTCCTTCTAGCATGTCCCTCTCCTCTATTGCTCTTTTCTATCCAACACTACCTTAACCCCCTCAGTCTCCCTCCTTTCCCCTCTGAGCTAACCACCATCGCCCCTGTCACGACCTTGATCCTGTTTTGCATAAGCAGTGGATGCCGTCTAAACCGTCCCTGCTCCCCTGCTGTTTACGGTCAATTAGATTGCTCCATAGCAGGGGAGTAAATTATTTGAGTAACTCTGAGGTTAAGCAAATGATAAGACTTGCCCATTAATGCAGGGATGGCTACTTTAATGTTTACTCAGAGGAGGACACTGATGTCCCTCCTATCTATGCTTGGTGTAGTTTGTGTAGCTAGATGTGTTCTCTAGGTCTGTTTGAATCATCACCTGAAAGCTTTTGCCAAATTCTTTGTTTCTTCTTTCTGTAACACAATTTATCTTAACAATTCATTTTGTAATGATGACAATGGAAGGGGGGCACATCTGGAAAGATCACGAAAAGCCAGTGTGAAAGTAATAGGTTACAATCAGAGCAGCAGGAGAACAGGGCATAACACACCAGATTGATTTTGTTAGCGTCAAGGGGCAAACACTTGAGGAGGACATTAAATCGGCTGATAGTTTCTTGTTGCTCTCTTACCTTATTTTGTTCTTTATCTTATCTTGATCTTCAAGGACCAAAACAAAAATAAATTCAAAGAAAACTGGGACTGTCGATGCTTTAATGTGACCTTGTTGACGTCATGTTTTCACGAGTAAGACTCCACACGGCAGCTGTGAGGTGTGATATGATGTTGTCTTGTGTTATTGATATAATGTTGACACAGTGGTGACTCTGCCCTGTCAGTGATTTAGAGCGGGGCATTATGAAGAACAGGACTAGGCCAGGGATTGAAACGCCTCCATACATAAATCAAGAGCACTGGTGTAGAGCTGATTCTCTAGTCATCACATTGCGCTTCATTAAGAACAAACAGCCATTGCTCATTGATAGCCAAGGCAATGGTCATTATGTTGATTTGATTGGCACAGTTCTTCATTCCCATTTCAATTAAACTTCAAGTGTCCTGTGATTGACATTTGCTGTGAAAGCGCTGCTCACAAAAGCTTTGAGAGTGAGAGTGACAAATATGAACTCTGGCTTTCATTTATACATTTTTCTCTATCATTAGTTTCTTTAAAAGACGAGGTGTGAAGGGAAATTGGTTATAGAAAAATGTAAGTCTTTGGAACCTAGTTTTATGAATGTGTCTGGATTTCATCTTAAACTTGACTGAAGGTATGATTTACCCAAATTGCTTGTGTTGAACTAAAATAGGTGTCTTGATCTGATAAAATGTTTGCCTGTCAATCTGAGGTTTGAGTGATAGACGAGATTAAAATCCCCCATCATAGTTGTTATCGTATTTCCCTATTTTTCCATGCAGGGTATAATATGATAAACTAAACTTAAACAAATCTTAATGCGTATAGTCAAGTCCTTATTTCATAGGATATCAAATGGAAGGTTATGAAGCATAAATAGATAAACTATGAAACTACAAAAAACCCTGTGAAGGCTGCATGCCTGTGAAATCCAGCAGCAGCTACAAAGAATTCTCCACTCACAGGTTTGTGTGAACATGTCTGTCGTTCACCTGTTACTGTGGAGAGCAACTCTGCCTTATAATTGGTGGTGCCAGATGTTGTTTCCTCCAATGAGACTGAGCCTACGTTTTCTTTTGACTTTCCCAGGTTGCACTGCTGCACCTGCCTCAGCTGTTGCAGTGATGGTCAGACCTTGAAATCTGAATGTCAACACAGAAGAAAGGAATATTTTCCAATCATCCACTCGCATAAACTCATCTGTGCCACGAGCTCCTGCCATGGCCGGGAAAAGTGTTCCTCGGACAAGTAGTTTCCTGTGAAGGCTCTACTCAACACATGTGAGATCTGCTTCTCCTTTGTTACCTCAACGGACCAAGATGATGCTTCGGCTGCTGTTAGTTCTGTCCATTTGGGTGGGATCTTATGAAGCTGACTCTGCCCTGTCCGAACGGCGAGTTGTAGCACACAATCCTGGTGACATCATCATCGGAGCGCTGTTCTCTGTCCATCATCAGCCTCCTGCTGACAAGGTAATTTGGGGTATTTTGTATTTTGTCTGTGTGCAGGATTGTTTGTCTGTCATTGGAATTCAGTGCAAACTTTGTATTTTAATATCCTGTCTGGATTTGAAGAGAAAACAATTTGAAAATGTAACAGAAGTAAAGGGATACAATTATAGTCAAATAATAAGGATTAGAGATGATTTTTGCATCTATGGCACTGCGAGTTGCAGTATGTTCCCCTGCTTATTAAGTCCCAAAGCAGACATTACATTTGTGGAACGGGTACCTCTGTGTGAGTCCATGAACCTTCATCCTCCATTAGCTTCCCCAGGAACCTTTAGCCACCCACTGACATTTAATCTTTTTTTCCATCTCATTACGGATAATTGCAAACTAGAAAAATAACTCTTAGACACAGCAGACCTGTGACTATAAAACTAATATTATTCGTGCAGTGAAGCAGCCATGTGTTAAAAGCCTTAGTTCAACATTCTTACTGTTCATTCAGTCTACAACAAAATTAAAATGCATCTAAATAATGAATGCCATCATCAGTAATTGCAACATTTACACAACACTGTTACATAAATGCCAGCTCAATTAGACTTGATTTGATTTCTTCTTCGCAGGTACACGAGCGCAAATGTGGCGCGGTGCGGGAGCAGTACGGCATCCAGAGGGTGGAGGCCATGATGTACACGCTGGACCGCATCAACGCCGACCCGTTCATCCTGCCCAACATCTCCCTGGGCTGCGAGATCCGGGACTCCTGCTGGCACTCGGCCGTGGCTCTGGAGCAGAGCATCGAGTTCATACGGGATTCACTGGTCTCCTCTGACGACGCAGAGGAGTGGGGGGGACTAGGGGGAGGAGGTGGCGGAGGAGCGAGTACGGTGAAGTGTTTCAGACCCCTCGGCCCACTCCCATGCGGGGGAAGAAACCCATCGTGGGTTTAATTGGACCAGGGTCAAGCTCTGTGGCCATCCAGGTCCAGAACCTTCTACAGCTGTTCAACATACCACAGATTGCCTACTCTGCCACCAGTATGGACCTCAGCGACAAGGTGAGACCAGGAACCTGTGGACACATTTCATTCAAGTAGCCCATACATGTTTGAGAGAGAATGTGTTACTGCTACCTTTATTGCTACTTTAATTGGACACGACACATTGCCTAACTGGATGATTTAAATGTTTCAGAATAATCCTGCCATTGATTTAGTTTCCATTATTTTCAGAGCCTTTTTAAGTACTTTATGCGGGTGGTGCCTTCAGATGCCCAGCAGGCAAGAGCTATGGTGGACATTGTCAAGAGATACAACTGGAGCTATGTGTCTGCTATACACACCGAAGGTACTCACACACACACACACACACACACACACACACACCACACACACACACACACACACACACACACACACACACACACACACACACACACACACACACACACACCACACACACACACACACACACACACACACACACACACACACACACACACACACACACACACACACACACACACACACACCACACCTCGTATCATGCTGCCTTGACTCCTCATCATAAATTATTACCTGGATTTTTTCCCACAATGAAAGAAATTCGAGAAAAGTCAAAGTTCTAAGTCCTTGATTTCTTTCAAATGTACAATTGTGAAGACACTTGTGATGCTTTACAAGGAGAAAAGGCAAATACGTTTATTTGGAACAAGATTAGAGTATGTTGGGAGAGAGGAATGTAATTAACAAGATGGATCGCAGCGGAGAGGCAGTGTTTTTTGAAAGAGATGAGTTTTCAGCTTACTAACGTAAATGTGATGAAAATTGAATGATTGTTGCTGGGTTGATGCCAGGAGGTTTATGAACCAGAAGTATCTAAAAATAGCAGTGAGCAGGAGTTTGGCAGGTACTGTAGTGGTTGAATGGGGTTACAAAAACAGGTGGTTGCCACACCACCAGAATAAAGCCACTACACCAAACACCATACAGAAAAAAAAAGAGCATGGAGATGTACTTTACAAACTCACTTACTCATAAGGTGTTAGTAAGTTGGACTGTGTGTGTGTGTGCTGAGAGAAGGCTTGTTTGACCTGAAAGTGTGTAATAAAGAGCAACACACACACAGAGGACTGGCCTCTGGCATTGCCTGAGGGCTTTACAACAGCATTTTAATTGAGCTACGAAGGGTAAGTGTGTGTGTGTTAAAGGTGTGAGAGTGTGCTTTTGTGAGGTATGTGTTATCGTGTGGTTATAATGTAGGGCAGGAATTTATAAAGAAGCAACAATATTGCAGATATGCACTTACTGTAAATAACTGTCTATTTTTTCAATAATCAGTATGATTAATATTGTAAAAATAATACACTTTACTCTAGTAACAAGGTTGTTCGGTGGTAATTAAACCTTGCAGAATTTTATTATTGACCTTAATCCTTCCAATTGAAAACGTGAAATCTTGAGACGATCAGATATTTGTGTAAATCTGTCTTCTCTTGTTTATGTTAATGATTGGACACAGAGCTCCCTACATATCTGTAACAATATCAATTGTGTGTGTGTGTGTGTGGGGGGGAATTTCTGTTTTAGAGAGTGCTTGTTGTCATGAGTGCAAATGTGTGGGATTGTCGGGGAAAGTATTGGTCTTTCTATTTCTTCAGACAAGCGGGATTGACCTTGGAACTGGTCCTCAAGGTCAACTGTTTCCTCCTCAAACACAATCAGTTTCAAACGAGGAGAAATGGAGGTGGCTGAGTGAGGACAGAAGGGTTGAGAAAGAGGGAGAGAGATAAGAAAGGCAAGGGATGGGAGAGCAGGGAGGAACATGCAGGAAGAGGGAAGGAAATGGGAAGAAGAGAATTGGGGGATGAGAGACGGGAGGGAGGAAGAGGGAATGGGGAACGCCGTAATAGCAGTGCCAGAAATGGTACAAGGTGTGGCTGTGGCTGTGTAATGCTTGGGATATATAAGACGAAGAGTAAAGAGGGGGGAGGTAAGCATATAGACTCATTAATTCTCTTTATTAACATTTAGCATCTGGAGGCGATAGAAACTGATATGGAAGAAACTGAATAATACATGTTATATCAGCACAGTAATTACATTGATGTGATGAGGTAATATTATTGGAGAGGGGAATACCATGTGTATTCCTTTCATGCCCCAATACATACGTATGCATGTTGAGTTGGACAACCGTTTCACTTCCATTTGTAACGCGAAGAAGTCTCTCTAGACTAGTCGTGACTCGTGTATCATCAGTCCCTTTTTGTACTTTTTATTCAACATTTTTCATCTTCAAGCTTAAGGGTCAAGTTCTACATAAATTAGAAGTGAGTCATAAAGAAACCAGACACACAAGATGGAGAGATATATTCAGATATATGTATAGATCCGGCAGTGGCTCAGTCAGTAGGGGCTTGGACTGTGAGCCGTAGGATCACCGGTTCAAGTCCCCGACCAGACCATATGGAGTGTGGACTTCTACTTGGAGAGGTCCCAGTTCACCTCCTGCCCTGCCGTGGTGCCCTTGAGCAAGGCACCGGACATCCGCTTTCCCCCCCCACTCCCATTGCTTCCGGGCGCTGTACAATAGCTGCCCACTGCTCCTAGTACTAGACTCCTGGTACTAGGATGGGTTAAAAGCAGAGAACACATTTCACTGTGTGCTGTGTGCTCTGCATGTGTGACCATTAAAGAGGGTTTAATCCCTCCAATTCTATTCTAGATAGATGGTGACTATGCAGTGCACGTAGCAACTCAAAACTATGTTACATAAATGGGATAAAAACAGTATCGAAGGAGTTGTAAGGCAAACTAGTTAAAACATAGGGGTATATAATAGAATATTTTTCACTGATATATGGATCATTTTCATTGAGCTGAGGTCTGTGGGACACATCATTAGTAGGAGAGACTTCAACAGAAACACAGACGCCTTTTTCTTACAGAAGAAAAGTTTGAACAGTTCCTGGATTAAATGCCTCGAGCAGCGTGTAGCTGAAGGTGCTCAGTCGCTTCACTGAAAGGAAAGGGAGGTGTTGTCCTTTAGCCTTTGTCAGCATTCTTTCTTTAAATGCACCACCACTTTTATTGTTGCTAGTACAGTATGTACCTGCACTCTAGTGAATAGATCAAATGTGTGCCTATTTGGTTGTTGATCAGTTATTTTATCATGAAAGAAACTAATAATGATTAACACATGTTTGAAATTGGGTTTCAGTTTTGCTTTAGTAGAGAATAATTATTATCCTCGGCTGTTTCACTCTTCTCTTTCCGCTCTGTGTCGCTCGGTTCAATTTCATTCAATTCAGCTCAATGGGTTTTATTGACATACAATTTGACACGTGTCACGAGTACTCTCCTCCAACAGAAATTGATCAATCTCAATAAGTCAAGATGTCAACCTTCTCTCACTCCCTTTTTGTCTTCTCTCATTTCTTTCTCCCATTTGTCTTGAATGACTCCTCTCCTCCTCCGTTTTCTCTCTGTCTCTATAGCATCTCATGCCCTGTGCCTCTTTAACTGCCATGGCCGTTGCAGGATTGAGGAAGATTAAACTGGGATGGGTTCGGGAACACAGTGTAGAGAAAGGTATAATGATCGGGAAGAGGAGAAAGACGGAAAGTGCTCAATTATTATTTATTTATTTGGGTGTATATTCAAAGATGGTCATGGGCCAGTTTTAGTGGGTCCCCATATAACAACAGTTCTTGTCTCTTTTTAATGAGCCTCGGTCACAGAACTACATCTGCTCTGATAGCAGATCTCTTGTTCTGCAATCTGGAATCCATTGAATGGCTTCTGTGGAGATGGATAGATGGTTTGGCAGCTGTTTGGCTGCCCAGGCTCTGTCCGCAATTTATACAAGGGAGCATTAAAGAGAGATTTCCTGTTGGCACAGATGTAAGTAAGGTCATTAAGGGCTACAAATGGCTAAACTGTTGCCATGTTAAAACGGATTCAAAGCATTCACTGGAGGATGTTGTTTATTATACTGGGTCTGTAATTATTTGCACCTGTAGAGATATATGTGGGCCTGCAATGCATACAGCATCACAGACAGTGTGTTCATGATGTGTGTTTGTTTCTCTGTACGCAAACAAGAATGGTGCATGGGCACAGACATGATTAATTTCTGACTCCAGAGTTTGCTCAGTAGAATGAAAGCATGGTGCAAGTGGATTTGGTCATTGTTATAAACTGCTGACAAACACCCTGTCTGTTGCCTGAAGCTATTTCCAATAAAAACAAAGAACGAGACAGGGTTGTATAACGCTTCGGTGCAAGGTCGGTACAGCGCGAAAAGGATACATTTGTTTTCATTTATTTTAAATAGACAGTAAAGTGCAAGTGCCAGGGACGGATAAAATCCTTCCACTATTTTTATTTTGAAAAATAAGGAAGGTTTCAAACACCTGTATATTGCACTGAACAGAAACACATGCATTAGGCCAGGGATGGGCAACTTTGATGGTGGTGGGGGCCACATCATTGATGTAGTGGCCACCAGGGGGCCGCAGATTCAGTTGGAACACACACACAAATTCCATGTGTTGTATGTAATTATTAACAAATATACTAAGTCTGACATCTTCATTGACATTTTACAATCAAAGGGAACATCCCCAAAAAATGGGAACATCCTCTAATAAGCTCACTAAACAAATATCAGTTCACAGAAATGTTATTTCATTTTTACAAGTGGCATGTTTGTATTGAACAGGTTATTAAACAGTGGAATAAAGCTATTTTAAACTATTGGAAAGCACGGGAAATGTGTGTGTATTGAGCTTAACCATTAAGATGACATAAACATGAAGTCATGAACACTAACCCAGACATTAGTTGTCTAACTTGAACCTAAAACACTTGTAGCCAGTCTCTGCATTCCCCTTATTCCACAATAAGGGGAATGTCAACACGCCCGCACTCTGCTGTTCCTCAGCGGCCCAACTCCCCCTCCCTCCCGCTGAATTATGAATGAAAAGCGTAGTAATCATAGATAAAAACGGCAGGGTCCGTGACAGTTTTGTTTTCATCTGATTTAAAATAAACAAAGTCTTGGTTTAAGAATATTAAACTTGTTTCGGCCAAAATTCAGATGATAAATACAACTTTTAAGCTGGTAAAGGCATAATTACAAGAGGCAACTTAACGTCACAGCAGGCATAACAACAGCCGGTGTTTCTTGTGAGGGTTTCCCCGGGAAACAAACACAATACACACAAATGCGTCACAGATTATTTCGCGGTATTTTAAATCATCTACGCAGCTCGTGACGTAACTAGGAGTCTAGTGGACGGTATCAGTACTAAAAGTAAAAAAAATAATTACGTATTAATTACGT